TGATTGGCCATGATACAAGAAAGTTATTGAATGTTTATTATGGTGTATCCTGATTTATTTGGACGAAGGGCGGAGACTCGTGCTTCGCACTCGTCACCGCCCTTCGTCCAAATAACTCAGGATACACCATAATAAATATACAATAACTATTACATACCTATAATCTTCAATAATCTTCAATTCATTTGAAGATAGGCACAATTAATTGAGGATAGGTGCAATTATTCAGACACATAGCATCGATTTTGAAAGTGGGGGGGGGGGGAGGCAGCCACTGAAAAAAAAAAAGACATCTGCCCAACGTCGAAAATCCTATTTCGTGGTTTGGGGGGGGGGGGGGGGGGGGGGGGGGTAGAGGCAAACTTTTTTCACTAACAATTCCTTTCGATAACCATTTTTTAAGCTTACAATACTATATTTCCTTCATATTACTTTACTTTAGTGTAAAGTGGGGGGGCAACCAGCCTTTAAATGAACATTTTCAATAGTAAAAGTATTGTTGGCAAAAAAAGTGGGGAGGGGGCCAGCCCCCCCCCCCCCTGTTGATACGTCCGTGAATTATTTGAAGATAAGTACAAATATTAGAATATATGATAATTTGGCGTTCCATAGGTGTGAGGTGGATGAGTTAAAATGGAGTAACGTACCTTGTGGCAAAAATAAGAAGGTATAGTGCCTTACATACAAAAGAAGTGTCTGTAAGCCGACACTGTACCTGAAGTATCCGGAGCCTGCACTGGGGGGTTTCCCACGATAATAGTTGGTGATAATCGAGGAAAGTTCACAGGTGGTGGAGGTGGTGGTAGGTTCAGAAACTGCCGAGGTATATGCTGCCCGTTACAAACTAAAACATGTTGGTCGTTTATGCTACATATTTCAGTACATTGTGCTATTGGCCTATATCGCCTTTCATTGTTTTCTTGGGTGTTACGCGAGATATTAAAATCACGATTAACCTGATTAACCTGATTCGAATTCGATGAGTGTGCATGGTCTGTCTGATTTTCTGATGTTCCCTGTCTGAGGGGATATACTTGAATGTATGTGAAAAAAGCATTATCACTGGCTAAGTTACCATCGTAAGGTTTCTTTAATATTCCGTCGAGTCCAAAAAATTTCGAGTTGAGCTTTTCATAATAAAAAAATGAGTTGATAGCACGTAAACAACCCATAACACTGACACACAAATGCTAAATCCCCCAGCCATCTACCTGACCACAATTACATTTTCAATATATCTAAAGAACAAAAATAGAATACGTAGTCCATTCCATCATTTGAATCATTCACATGTAATAATGATAACGTCAATAAACATCACAATCATCGAATAAAAAACCGAATTCGATCTGTAACCCGCTAGTTCTAGTTTCGGTTCTAAAAAAGGAAATGGGGTTTTTTATCGCTAAAAATAAACAGCTCTCAATTTCCCAAATTATTAAGAATTTTCGCCCTTTTCAAATAACTTTTTTTCCGATTTGTCAGATCTTCTCAAATAATTATGCTGACTTGATATTTTCCAGCTTGGATTTTTTAAGTGTATTTGTAGATCCGTCCGATAATTGTTTTGTCAATGTATTCCTCAAAATTACTTTAATAATAGTATGTTTAATAGTTTAGGTAATAGTTAGATCATATTAAGTAAAATTTTAGTGGTTAAGAAGGGACGGAGGGAGCGAAGCGACCGAGCCCCCTTCTTAACCACTAAAATTTTACTTAATATGATCTAACTTACTTAGAACCTATCGCGCTTTTTCATTGGCTTAGTAGTCAGCCCGCGGAGTTACTGCATAAACATAAAATCTTTAAGGCAGAGACTTTTTACCGGGTGGTAAATTCCAGGTGAGGGAGGGGCTTATTTTGTACAGGTGTGAATGCCTTGGGGGCTAGAAGTCTACCTGTGGTCATCTGTCTCCTAATCCCTATACACATAAAGTGATTTAATACACAGTGAAATACCCCAGGTGTCAAACTTTACCTGTGTTGAGGATTTTGAGACAATTTTAAAATTAGTAGTAAAAGGGTTTTTCAATCATATATTGATTTATTTTGACTGTTTGAAAACACCCCTACCCATTTGAAAAAAAAAAATATTATGATATCATACTCTAAATTCAAATATTAAAACAAAGATAGTTTTAGATGTTAGTGGATCTGTAAATTAAAAAAAAACTCCTGTAACAACCAAATTAGACTTAATTCATTCATCCCCAGGATCCCACCTTTTAAATGAAAAAAGAGCCGTGTTAACTACATTTTACTAAAAAAAATCCAGATTTATCATAACCTTGATAAAGCTTTGTCACCATGATACGTTTTAAAAAAAGATTGCTTGTGAATTCTTATTTGATTTAAAAAGGAAATCATATTAAGTGACCCATGATTAGAAACATTATTTTTAAATCTAATTACTAGTACTTCACACAGCGCTTCTCTGAACTTAATTAATAACATTTCACTTTAGGTTTACCATTTAGCATATAGAAATTAAAAATCGAAATTTCATTTGAAAAAAAAAGTTTTATGTACCAAAGGTTATTTTTTTTAATGCATATTATATTATAATCCTTTCAAATACTAAAGGTATATTTAATTCATATATAATCAAAAAATTTCATAGTTATTCAGTTTCTGTATACTATGTTCAGTAAATATCAAAGGGTCAAATGTTAATTAGAAGGTCACCAAGAGTCCCAAACAAGGTGTTCAGGGTATACACAGAGTCCAGTAAGTAAGTGTCAATCAAGTTCCAGCATCCAATGATGGACCTTCATGCACTTGATTGACAGGGTACCCACACCAGGTATTTTTGAAGGCAGTGCTTAAAATCTCTGCCTTTAACAATTAAATGATCAACTTAATAGAAAATTTAGCAGCTGCTGATTGGAGGAAAAAGCGGGTTAGGTTCTAATTAAACGAACGACTCACCAAAGTTTGACAGCTAGGCTAACCTGAAATTCCTATATTTTTTTTATTCTTTAAAATATTTAATATTGTTACTTCGAGAATTAAGAGATTTTTTTTGCGTAGTTAACCATTTACTGTCTTATTTTATGAATGCTTTAACCCGAGGATCGAACTGCATTAAGTACGTCTTAATTTAGCCCTCATTTTCAAAGAATCTGTGGTATATACTTTTTGCCCTGTTCGTCCCTCTGCCTGTCTGTCCGCAAATACTTTATTTTTGTCCATTTTTAGCTCTACTGGTCAGAGATCAGAAGAGCTTATGCGATAGTAATGCGTCAGTCGTCCGTCTGTCTGTCTGTCTGTCTGTCTGTCCGTCTGTCTGGGACAATTTTTCAAAACGCTACTCCTCCTACAATTTTAGTCTGATTTCAATATTACTTGGCACACAAGTAGACTACACTAAGATACATAGAATAGTGCATCGGTTTTTAATTTCGATGAACGGTGTTGCCATGGTTACTAAAAATAGAATTTTCTGTGAAATTCCTTTAAAACGCTACTCCTTCTACAGTTTTGGTCTGATTTCAATATAACTTGGCACACAAGTAGACTACACTAAGATACATAGAATAGTGCATCGGTTTTTGATTTCGATGAACAATGTTGCCATGGTTACTAAAAATAGAATTTTCTGTGAAATTCCTTTAAAACGCTACTCCTTCTACAGTTTTGGTCTGATTTCAATATAACTTGGCACACAAGTAGACTACACTAAGATACATAGAAAAGTGCATCGTTTTTTGATTTTGATGAACGGTGTAGCCTTGGTTACTAAAAATAGAATTTTCTGTGAAATTCCTTTAAAACGCTACTCCTTCTACAGTTTTGGTCTGATTTCAGTATAACTTGGCACACAAGTAGACTACACTAAGATACATAGAATAGTGCATCGGTTTTTAATTTCGATGAACGGTGTTGCCATGGTTACTAAAAATAGAATTTTCTGTGAAATTCCTTAAAAACGCTACTCTTTCTACAGTTTTGGTCTGATTTCAATATAACTTGGCACACAAGTAGACTACACTAAGATACATAGAATAGTGCATCGGTTTTTGATTTCGATGAACGGTGTTGCCATGGTTACTAAAAATAGAATTTTCTGTGAAATTCCTTTAAAACGCTACTCCTTCTACAGTTTTGGTCTGATTTCAGTATAACTTGGCACACAAGTAGACTACACTAAGATACATAGAATAGTGCATCGGTTTTTGATTTCGGTGAACGGTGTTACCATTGTTACTAAAAATAGAATTTTCTGTGAAATTCCTTTAAAACGCTACTCCTTCTCAGTTTTAGTTTGATTTCAAAATAAGTTGGCACACAAGTAGACTACACAAAGATACATAAAATAGTGCAATGGTTTTTGATAAGTAAAAACCAGTAGAGCTACAGTCTCGACAGAGACTTCTGGTTAAAGCTTACAGTACTATATTTTCTTCATATTACTTTGCTTTAGTATAAACTGGGGGGGGGGGGGGGGGCAACCAGCCTTTCAATTAACATTTTTAATATTAAAAGTATTGTTGGCAAAAAAAGGGGGGGGGGGGGGGCAGGCCCCCCTGGTCCCCCCTGTTGCTACGTGCCCGAGTTGGAAATGATAGAACTGTTTCTGAGGATTTCAAGATATGCTAAGTTTTTAGATCCGAGGGTTCGCTCATATTATTTTTCTTCTTTGAAAATACTCAAATATACCTGTTTAAATTAAAATTCAAGAATATTGCAATTCCATAAAGCCTGCCTTCCAAGACCTTGAGTTTAGGGAGAAAAATTTTAATAGGAAATGAAAGTACTAAGTCTCACTCTCTACTTTATTTTGATGTTTAAAATAGGACATAAAGTGTTGGTCAATAAATTGGTATATCGACAAAGCCGTTCTATGCATAAAATGAACCGAGCTCTTTACATGCATACATGTATTTGCCATATTTGGCCTCTTTAGCTCCGAACCTAGCGCTTGGCAAAATTTACATTCCGGTAGACGAGACATCAACTCAACTAACTTTCAAAGTTTTCACAGAGAAAACAAATAGAAATGGAAATATTATAAGTTTACTCGTCATGTTTGACATTATGTCAATAATAAAAACAAACATATGAGCTGAGGTAGCTTGATTAGTAATTCAGTATCTAATAAATGGGAGTCAAGAACCCTGACAGGATAAACAACAGTTCCTGCGAAAGTTAGTAAATTTACAAAATTTCATTATCTTCACAACGCTGCAATATTCTGACTTGTCTGCACATTCTGAAAATGAAACAAAGATATAACATCAAATCATGCATGTGCATACATGTATATTTACTTTATGTAATCCTTCAGAGAAATGTAAATGTAAAATAAACCCCAAATAACTTCAGACTTCAAAAAATACTTGGTTTATATACATGTATAGTCAGGAGAACTCACTTTCAAGACAGCTTTCCATTTTGCACAATTTTATCGTCTTTGGTCTTTTCACAGAGGTACAATGGCGTCCTGCGTGAAGCTTGGTTTTGGACCAGACACAGTTTAGCGTTCTTGTTTTAAAACCATTTGTTCCACATTCACCAAGACACTATATATACCAAAAAAGACTCATCTTATGTTTCATAATAATAATATGAAATTAAACAAGAGGCCCAGGGGCCACAGCGCTCACCTGAGCACAACGGCTAGGAAAAAGCACATATCAGATCATAACTGAAAATTTACTGAGGATGGGAGGGGGTTGAATTTTTACCCCCCAGGGGATCATGATTTGAATGAACTAGAATCTACATTACCTGAGGATGATTCCATATAAATATTACTAATCATGGCTTTGAAGTACTTGAAAAGAAGATTTTAAAAGGTTTCCCTATATATTCCTATGTAAAACTATGGTCGGCCATTTTTGGCAACACCCTATCCCCGGGGGTCATGATTTGAACAAACTTGAATCTACACTACCTGAGGATAATTTCACATGAGTTTCATCTTTCCCGTCTCAATGGTTCTTGAGAAGAAGATTTTTAAAGATTTTTCCTATATTCCTATGTAAAACTTTTATCTGCCATTGTGGCCCCACCCTACCCCCAGGGGTCATGATTTGAACAAACTTGAATCTACACTACATGGGGATGATTCTACCTGAGTTTCATCTTTCCTGGCCCAGTGGTTCTTGAGAAGAAGATTTTTAAAGATTTTTCCTATATATTCCTATATAAAACTTTGTTCGGCCATTTTCGCCCCACCCTACCCCCTGGGGTCATGATTTGAACAAACTTGAATCTACACTACCTGAAGATGCTTCCCTATAAGTTTCAAGTTTCCTGGCAAAGTGGTTCTTGAGAAGAAGATTTTTAAAACATACCACCAAATTTTCACTATTTCTGAATTATCTCCCCTTGAATAAGGGCATGG